CCAAGGTTTGATTGTTCTTTGAAATTTGGAAAAAAACAAAGTTGTCCTTCTCATGGAGTTCCATTTAAAGTAGGCTTCATTTGACAAAATTTTGTCATTTTTTCAAAAATTAATCAAGATTTAGTACAGCATAGTGACCTTTTTTTACAATGATTTATTCTTTTTTAAAAAAAAGGAAAAAACTTGCCCATCTTTTTAAGTTTTCCATTGTTTTGGAATTTTTAGAATAATTTTCTAGAGAATCCAAAAACTTATAAATATTGCACAACAAGAAATTCTTGGGGATGAGATCTATATGCATTTGTTAAATATTGTAATTTAGAGAGGGGTCCAATTGATATAAGGTGGAAATTTTACTTACAAAATCTACACAACCGAATCCTTTTGGACAGTGCAAAACATTGCACCCTTACTTATACAAATAACGTTGCAATACAGATATAGATCCAACCACTTAGAACCTTAGTGGTTAATATAATTAATAAGCAAACTTCTCCCGTCACCACATTATGCATTTCGGTCATGTAACAAGCATAGAGTTTTAGATGATCTTGGTGCATCTAGACCGTCCATTCTTATCAGAGGTCCAAATCAACAATAAAGGCTTCCAACCTACTGCTTGAAGGTGGTCCCCACCTTCCAGTGCTTGATCTAGATTACCATAGGAATGGATGGTGTAGATGAGTCAAAGTTCTATTATGAATGTTAAAAATAGGCCGAAATTTAGTAGCCAGCCAATGGATCAGACTTGCCCGATCAAGATTGAGGCCAATGGGTGGGCAATCAGGCCCTTAGAAACTCCAAAATTGCCCTAGTCCCACCATATTTTTCTTGAAGTTTCTTTGGTATCCAATGTGACTATATTCAGGCACTCAAAACTAGAATTTGCAATCGAATTAGTCCATTGAGGGACTGATTCGGTTCATGATTCTGTACTTTCAGACATTAAACCAAATAGATTGAAAGCCTCTGGAATTCACTGCATAGATGATCTAATTGTAATTTTGTAATAAGGAAATTTTCAAATTGATCTCCCTCTCGTTTTATGATGGTCTAGGCAGGTTCATCTAAACCTTAACGATTAGCTCACACCTTCAACGCTTACCTCACGAATTTCCTATTTTTGGGGCAATATAATGAGACTGTACAAATGATGAAACTGTTATTATCCGGTACACAAAGGCCACAAACACCTATAGTCTTCAAATGTAAGATGTAAAATTATACATTTGGTCATTGTTTTTTGGACATAGAGATCGCAAATACTGGAAGCTATCTGAAATAAAATCAAGGAGGTGGGGCATGTTATTTCTTTGAATAAAATCTGAGAAAAAAATTTCTAACACTGAGCATGGTAAATGGGATATCAACATCATCCCAAATCACATCTGATGACTAGGGTAATCGTGATATTCTTTTCTTAATGACAATATATCTTATTATATGCTTTCCTCTCTATTTTTTAATTTGATCTAGCGCTAACAAATCTTCAAATACTTCCTTTTCTTTTTAGAGTTGTATTTAAAAATACGACAATTTTCAATTTGGATTGCCAATCCAGATCAGAATTGGTTGGAACATAATATGTTCCAAGATATTATAGGTCACAGATGATCCAGATTAGAACTGGATGGGACATAATTGGTTCTGGGATAGTATGGGTCCCGGCCCGATTCCTTTTAAAACCCCACTGATATATTTTTGTTTCTTTTTTTAAAAAAAAAACGTATCTAATATTTTTCTAGGTCCTCTAAATACCGAATTGATAAGCATATATGTTAATTTTACTTTATTTTGTTTATTTTTAATATTTTCTGAATTATCGATCCAAAATCGATCCGAATAGCCGATCGAACCAATCCCAGTTTTGAAATACTATTTTAGTGTAAGTTCAAATAGAATACCAGCTGGTAAGTGGTATTTAGGTGTGGTTACTTTCAAAGTTTCAAAACATAAGGCCTCACTGATTGAAGCCTAAATGTAATTTTGATTTAGATACTCCCACAGTACACCTTGTTTTACTAAAAGATAAATAGAGAGAGGGGGCCACCATGCTTTAGCAATAGTTTCCATGGTTTGAATGCTACAAAATGCCCTTTAAAAGCCAATGTCCTCGTCTCCTTCTCATGATTTCAAAGGTGCTCACATGGCCCCACAAGCCCCTCCTTTTATGACCAACGGGCCGGGCCCACCTCAGACACTTACACAAATATCACGTCACCCTACTTATAGTAAGGAGCCTAAACGAGAAACCATTCATTGGAGCTTCCTATGGATGCGTTGCATGGGCCAATCCATGGAAAAGGTTACCATTTCACCCCTATGTTTTGTCACTACATAGTTAATTATGGGCTTTATGTGTCAATTAGGGATGTGGGCATTTGCATAATTAAGCATAAAGAGGTTTTATTAAGCAATGCCTCAAATTTAACGGGAAAATGTAGATCTAGTACTATATAACTTGTAAATTGATTATCTCTACCACGGTGATCATGATCTTTAAAATATATGTAATTCAAGATCTAAAATACTTCATCATGTACCAAGTTTATTTGGACCAATGTTTACAAATTTGTGCACTGAAACTCCAAATTTCACAATTAAGGACATAAACATATCTACTAACCATCATAGAAATTTCTAGCACCGTAACTGCATTTTCTGCTAAGGTTATGTGGCTTTACTCAATAGTCAATACTGTAAAGCCACGGCCCTATTAAGTATGGAAAATGGTTTGATAGGGTTGTAACTTTATAAAAATAAGTAAATAGTGACTTTATAACTCATCAAAAATTGTAAGTCAAGCATTGGAAAACCTTTACAAAAATAAGTAAATAGTGACTTTATAACTCATCAAAAATTGTAAGTCAAGCATTGAAAAACCTTTACATCGATCATCTCGAATTAAACATTATAGCTGTGAAACACATAGGATTTTAAGCTCTAAAAGTAGTGTATATTATAACAAATTATCCAAACCGTCCATTTTGCTTTAAAAATAAGTGTTATCAGACCTACAAGATCTGTACTAGTTTTTTAAATTTTCAAATTTGATTGTTGGTGTTGGAAATTGAGTTTATATCCATCATATATATTTCTCTAAAAGTACTTTTCAAGAGGATTTGAGATGAGGCTATATTTTGTTTTCATAAAACCTAAGCCGTATAAAAACCTCATCCATGAGGGGGATTTTGTAAGTTAAATTGATTTTATCCCTAGGGTTCAATTTGATTCTGCTAAATTTTTTATTTCTATTATTGATTTGGGTCCATCATGGCCATTATTGTATGTACCATAGTGGCTTACTTTTTGTTTGCCATTCCCGGGATTTTCTCGCCCACATTGGCTTGGGATTATGTAAAGAATGAGAGTAAAGCATTATTGATGGTGGGCTTGTTAGGTTTGTGTGGGTTTGGGCCATCCCAAGCTCCCATCCCAAGGAGCCACCCATGTGATTCTCTGCCCCTTCCACAGATAATGCGCTCTCTCTCTCTCTCTCTCTCTCTCTCTCCATTGTCAAACACCCTCGTTCTCTCTATCTACTTGATCTTTCTCGCCCCTTCACTTCCCTTCTCACTGTCACTATTGTAAAGCTCAGATCTTGTGGTCAGATTGGTACAGTTGATAATCGGGTTGTCAAGTTGATCATATCCATGCCGGATGTGGAAATCAGTTTAAGTTATTTTAAATAATTTTTTAAATTTAATAAGTTAAAAAATAATGGAATATACCATGAGTGGAACCAAGCAAAACCAGATTGTTGGATTCTTTGATAGACTTGTTCAATTCCCGATAAAAAACAAACTTGTCAAAAATAATATCCAATTCCAATTACGAACCAGATCACTCCTGTAATTCTGAATCTAGATTGGCGATTCCCAAATCCCTATCCAAATAAACATTTTAAGAATCATTGCATTCCTTGTAAAAAATTATGAGTCTCCTTCACATCCTTGTCTACCTTTCTCTTTCATTCCATACATGCGGGTCAAAGTGATCGCTGTGCATTTAATATGAAAAAAAATAAATATAAAAATAAATAAATAAATAAAGGCGCTTGCTGAGCATTCACGTAATTATTATTCCTTGGCAAACCAAGTAGGGTGTAGTCGTTTTTCAAAACTAAAAAGTTAACAAGATGCAGGAAACAATGTGACCGGATAATGACAGTGTTCTTGCTTCATGATTCATGACAATGAAGGTCAAAATTTATCATTTGAGAGCTAAATTTTCGTCAGGCACCGAAAACTCGGCCGGAGACGAGAAAAAAGCTTTCGAACATTTACGCAAAACATTTGAAATTTCGATGTCAAGGTCTTTTCGACAATTTTATGAAATATAGACGACACACGTGTTATGTCGATGCGCCAAAGACACGAGATTAATCATTGTGCATATCGACACATCAAGGACACATTAAAAGCATAGATATTTTGTGATGTTTCCATATAATCTTATCATAAGAGTACTCAATGTCCGTGACCTCCTACCTTGCCATTATTTAAATTGTATATATAAATATATGGTGTCTGAAAGACAATTTTAAAGTTGGATTTTCTCACACTCGTGTCAGTATCCATTAGATATTAATGTATATTTCTATCTCATCCTAATGTAGCTATCTTTTAAAAGCTTTTTATCAAACACTTAACCAAAACACATTACTACTAAACAGATAAACATAATGCCCAATGTGCATGAAATTACATATATTTTGATACCATTTACTTGAAATACAAAGAAGCTCAACCATCACATGCAAAAAGTGCAAATTAGAGGGTTAAGAGTTCTCGAATTTTTTCTATACTTTGAATCCTACCGATAAAACACATATCGTGATGAAGGACGTATTTTCAGACTCTATATGAACAGCGAAAAGTAATTGTGATCCCTAAATAATCTATTGCATACTAATGTATTATTGTGTATGCATGTATGATACTTCCCCAAATAAAAGCCGCCCAATTTCTCACGACAACAATGCCAAACAAGAGATGAGCTTTCCATTTTTAGAAATAGTTATTCAATTTATATATCATTTATGCAAATTATGCATAAAAACATCTCAAAAAGCTTGGCTCCCCAGCTCCATTACATGAACACTTGAACCCCATAACTTATCATCCTAAATATTTCATACATAATTATACTTACTTGTCCCTACATTATCAAAGAAAACAAAACATATGGTAAAGGTCAAAAAAAAAAGGCAATATTAAAAATTAAAACAACCTATTTTTCCCTTGTATATGCACGGACTTTCAATTTCTTGTCTGCCTTAGAGATGAGACACACATACAAACCCCCTGCCACCTAAAACGCCGGAAAGTCATCGGAAACTTGCCAGAGATGAAATTCCAGCGATCACATTATGGAGCAACTATTGGCATTTTCATCACTAAAGAAGTGGGTGGCATATTCAGCTGATTGTGATTGTTGTGGAGCATGACAAAAAGGGGGGGGCCTATTATAAGCCATTTGCAAATATCTCTCCATATTTTGCCTCTGATTCATCATGGCCAAATATTGCTGGTGATGAGGATTTCCGGCCAAAATTTCCGGCCCAGCTCCCTGAAAATAGCCGGAATTCCCCATCTGCCCCTGCAAAGGACCCATCTGCCCCTGCAAAGGACCCATCTGCCCCGGCAAAGGACCCATCTGCCCCTGCAAAGGACCCATCTGCCCCTGCAAATGACCCATTTGCCCCTGTAAATGACCCATTTGCCCCTGCAAATTTCCCATCTGCCCTTGGAAATGACCGATCTGCCCCCCACCACCACCACCACCCCCACCTCCACCCCCACCCCCACCCCCACCCGCAACCCCCCTTACATCTATCTCGTGGAAGCCAGGGGCAATGTTAGTCATCTGACCCACATCATTTTTGCCCCCCTTCTTGCCCCCACCGTTATTGTTATTTCCAGCAGCGCCCTTGTTATTTTGGCCGTTACCGTTATTGGCCTTATTGTTACCACCACCACCGTTATTGTTTGGGTTTGGACCGTTATTTTTGCCTTCTCCATTTTTACCTCCATTTTTGGTCCCTTGATTCTGGTTCTGATTTTGGGCACCACCATCTTTGCCCCCTTTCTTCCCTCCATTGCCCCCATTCTTTTCTGCTATTCCAACCATACCCTTCATTTGTTGCAAGGCCCCGTCCCCTCCCCCTTTCTTATTTCCATTGCCATAAACCATGCTATGGCCACCATTCATCATACCATGGACCCCATGCATCATGCCAGGGGCCCCATTCGTCATGCCCATCCCACCCATGACCATGGGTTTGTTGCCCTTGCCATCCTTGATGGGTGGTGGGGCCTTGGACCCCATGTCATCCCCATCCATATCATAGCCATCAAAGTCATCATCCATCTCATCATAAAATAACTCATCATCATTGAACTCATCATAATCATCATGATGGTGACCATGGGGCATCATCTCATGGCCCAAGTTGAACTTCACAGACTTTGGCACCTTGAATGGGAGCTTTAGGTCCTTGAATTGAGGCTGTTGTTTCATGTCCTTTGGTCCCTTTATTTGTTCTTGTTTTGGTTGTTGGGGCTTCTGGTCTTTACCTCCTTTTTGCTGGTTTTTTCCGTCCTTTTGGTCCTTCCCCTTCTCAATTTGAAGCTTTTGAAACTGGTTGTCTAGTTGGTTTCCTCTTTGGTTCCAGAGCTCTGCATGCTTGCCATTCTTAACCAGTTTCTTTATGAGGGCAGAGGGATCCACATTACCTGAAACTGTCACCTTTTGCTGCTCCATATCAATGGAAGTAGTATACACCCCTGTTGGAACCACCCCACAAAGAAAATCACATAAATAAGTAGCAAAATACCAAGTACCCTAGTTTTTTTTCTCACTCTTCTCAGACGAAAAATACCAACTCTCTTTTCTTTTCTTTTTTTCTCTCTTTTTCATTCTTCTAAGAATGGAAAAGGAAGAACAGTGATGGGGGACTGTCAAAAGGTAAAAGAAGCTCTATTGAAATTGAGAGGTCATGGAGAGAGAAGGGAATGTGGAGGGAGAAAATACCATCTATTTTGTGGAGCAACTTCTTCACCTTTTGCTTACATCCTTCACAATGTATGTTCACTTTGAGGACACAAGTCTGAATGAGGAACAAAACAGAGAAAGAGGAGTGCAAAATCAGTAAATAGAGAAGTGGAGAGCTAATGGAACATTTTTATGTGCAATTATGAAGAAGAGAGAGAGAGAGAGAGAGAGAGAGAGAGAGAGAAAACGAAGGGGAAAAACCCTTGAGACCTTTGATGAAAAAACAAGCAGAGCACACACCTGGGCCTTCAAGAAGTTCACATCTCCATCTTTAGCCATCATTTTGTTGATGTTCATTTTTCTCAGGAAAACAGAGAGAGAGAGAGAGAGAGAGAGAGCGAGCTAGCAGTACATGGAAAATAACAAGTTTTGGGAGATGAGTAATGGAGAAGAAGTAGAAAGAAGTGATTTTAGTGAGAGTGTGGGGAGGGGGACGAGAGAAGAGGTTCTGAGAAGTGGAAAGAGAAAGAAGGGTTTTCTTTGAAAGAGAGAAAGAACCCAAAACAGGGTCTTTTATGGTGCGGTGAGTTAGTGAGGGGAGATTTTCTCAGAGGCGTTTATGAGCGGGAGGGCGAGTGTCATGCGTCCACTATTTCCGGGATTATTTTCTTTAACTGTGGAGAGAGAGAGAGAGAGAGAGAGAGAGAGAGTGAGAAGGTAAAGT